ATGTGGATAAGAGGTGAGAGCGAATTACGAGGTGAGTCAATGTCGGTGTCATAGTCGAGGGATTGAGGTGCTCTGTCTCTGAGATAGGGAGTCGGACTCGCATGTTGGTGACTCATTCCCTAGAAAAACAAATAATAATAGTGCCTGCTTTTAGTGGCGATCTAGTAAATATTACTCCAGTCCAGCTTAAAAATAATGAGATGCAATAAAAGTTGAGTAAATACACTGTTAAATAACAGCGAGGGTGAGACCTCTAGTAGATGGAGACCAATGTGAAGGAATCTGTGGCCCACGGTAAGCACATTGTCGCGCGATGATGCAGCTAATATGTCTGGAAGCACCTTCGCCACTTCTGCCAGCCCTGACTGAATTCTCTCCACAGTTGGGAAGGCCACCTCCTTGGCATTGGCTGCAAGAGCTTCAATGGCGGAGGTCATAGAGAGCAGGGTCTCACCGTCTGTGACAGAGATGTTCTCAAGGGCAGTGACAAGCTTGTCTAGTAACTGAGGCAGAAGGAATGGGCAGTAACAACATGGAGTATATTCACCTCAGAGGCCTTTAATCTAAGTTAATAGTCATGACACTGTGTTCTGCCACAGGGAAAATTGAGTGACAGTGCTAAAAATGAGTGAATCTGTTCAATGTGATTGCCAGATTGCAGAATAAATTCAAATGAAAAGGCCTGATTTGTCCCACCTTGGCTGCTTGATTTCGCGTGTGATTGAAGCACTCCAGTGATCCTACAACGCAACATTCAATGGAATCATCCTTGCCATGTTTGCACCTTCAAGAGGCCAACGAAAACACACCTACCTTCACTGAAATCGGACTTCATTAACACAGTGACTTGTGTAGATATGGTGTGAACGATCCTGAAAATCACACTTGGTTGTCCTGAGGCGACGGCATTGTCGAGAATATCAAGTTTCCCAGAAGCAATGCTTTGCAGCAAGTTTTTGAACTCTTCTTGTATCACCGGCACAAACTAAAGAGATTTCGGTTGTATCTCATAATTTATTCACAGAAGAGCGTAAGCAATCCTCGGTGGCATCTTACCTGAAGTGATTGGAAACATGTGTTGATATAAACGTTGGAACCCGGGAGACTACGAATGCACGTTTCAATGCCACCTTCAAGCCGGGGTAGAATACTGGAAAACATTGGCTTCTCGCTCACACTTATGGTCATTTCACCGTCTGGTGTCTTTGCTAGGAAAGGGTTAAAATTCAATGAGTGAATTATTGTTTCGCAATGTGGAATAAGGTCGTGGATTGCTATTGTCTACCGTAAAACTCAAATTTGCCCTTAGCTGAAGGACATGAGCAGGAGGCATTGACGTGTTGAAAGTCTTGTAGAATGGACGGAGACTGGAGCACACATCTGTTGCAGGGAATGGGTGTTCTAATGTCCAATATTACGCAGATGTCAGGTTCATCTGGGGAGAGACGTGTGGGAGACAAGCAAGTCGAAAGTTGAGTATATTCTGGCAGTTGAAGCAGTAATTCCGGAGCAATTATTATCGTCGACGTGTTTCTCCCTACAAAGGAAACAAGCTCCTTAGGCGTGTTAACAGCAGAGTTGAAATGAGGACAAGATTGTGGACCACGGTACCTTGGGTGAATCTGTTCATCTCCTCATCATCGAGCCACCAGCTGGAGCCATTCACGTAGATAGCCTTGACATACCACTGACGCTTTGCTGCCTGAGGACAATCGGAGCCCTCGCACACCCCACTCAGCACAATGTGTTCAAAGGATGTCACCGAATGCG